GCTTGTCATGCTCACCAGTCCAAGAACAAATATATTCTGCATGATTTTTCCAAACAATTTACCACTTCTTTGGTGACTCTTTCAGGTTCCTAATGGCTCAGCAGGAAAACTGCCAAGCTACTCAACAGTGAAATTCTTCAGCAGGTGCAATTAAAATCTCTTCCAGAGGCAAATCTGGAACCGATTTTCTGCCTAAGTGAATGTATTTTCTGCAGGTGATTGTGTGGTGAGTGAATACTTCTGTAATTGTAAAGGAATCTGTTGTGACAATTTTACCATTCTATATAGTAGCGTCCAACATTTTTCAAGCACCCTTATGAGTAGAATATGTACATACATCAAAATATGTTATCTATTTTAATAGATTATTTACATGTACTCTTATTAGTCCACACATTAACTATATCAAACTTTATTTTTTCTTATTTTTCATATGGTAAATAAATATAAATGGAAAGTCTAATAATCCCCCCCCCACCCCCCCCCCACACACACAATGTATTGTCTTGTGCACCTCCCCCTCTTTGGAGACCACTTCTGGACAGACTGGAAGAAATTCCATTCATACATATGACTGTTTCCTTCCAGCTATGAGACCACAGAGAGGCAGAATCTCTGCCAATAGCAGATATCAATGATGAAAGTGATGTCAATATACAACATATACAGTTGACCCTTGGACAACAAGGGTTTGAACTGCTCAGGTCCACAAATATGCAGATTTTTTTCAACAGTAAATACTACACTACTACACAACTTGCGGTTGGTTGAATCTGTGGATTCAGAACATGGATATGGAGGAACCACAGATATGGGAGGATGACTATAAGTTACACATGGATTTTTGACTGCTCAGAGGCTTGGTGCCCCTCCACTCGTTGTTCAAGGGTCAACTGTATGGTTACAAAGTTCAAGGGTCAACTGTATGGTTACAAAGTGATCTAATGATCACTGTTAGGCCGAATCTTCTTTTGAATCAACTTAAAAAGTAGTTCTACATCTTAGAAAAGTATAAAGAAAAAAAGGACCCACTTTGTAGATAAAATACATTCAAACAATAAATTAGTACCAGTTGTTAAGTAGGTGTAAAAATATAGCCAGTGTATTCATTAATTCATCAAATATTAATTGCATGGCCATTATGTACCTGGCTTTCTTCCAAGTGCTAATTATACTGACGTGTATTGTAACCGAGGCTCTCACTTTATATGTGGGAATTACTAAGCAGTGAAGAAATAAATTTCTAAATTATTTTTATATAACACATGAACAGATTGGCACACCTGGCAGTTAAAAGTGAGATTGCTATTTAATTATCAATTCTGCCTCCTAGAGCTAAACCATTAAGTTCCTCAAAGATAAGGACTGTATTTGTTTATTAATATAAACCTGGTAGCACCTAGCATAGTGGCTGGCATGTAGTAAACATTCAATATCTATTTACTGGAAAGGTGGGAGAAAGAGAGAGGAAGAAGGATAAAATGAACTAAAGTCTGAGACCAAACTGTAAGAGCCATTTTATTGTCCCTAAAGCTTGACTGTAACTACTAATGGTGTTTCTTCTGACTTGGAAATACCCATCAATACCCATCAAAAGCATATGGTTGTGCACAGGGAACTAAACTCAATATTTTGTAATAACCTATAAGGGAAAAGAATCCAAAAAAGAAAAGATATTTATATATGTGTATAACTGAATCACTCTGCTGTACACCTAAAACTAAGACAACATTGTAAATCAACTATACTTCAATAAAATTAAGAAAAAATAAAAACACCCCCAAATTAAACTAAATTTTAAAAAACCATATGGTCCCCCTTGAAATCCTGTACCTATACTTAGGAACAGTACATAATTCAGGACCCTGAAACTAAAGAGGAGAAATCAGTCCTGAATCAGCCCCAACTGCTCATTTAAAAGTTCATTTACTTTCAGGTTTTATGATAAAATAAAATGTATTTTTCTAATTATAAACGTAATATAAATACTTTGAAGAAAATTTGTAAAATATAGGAAAGTAGAATTGAACATTATTATAATCCTACCACCCAGACAGCCACTGTTAACATTTTATATGTTAAACTAGTACCAAATTTTAAAATCCCTGTGATATAACTTTGTATTGATATAATGCAATAAGGGGCTCATAAATAACTAGAATGAAAAAAATAGAGTGGAGTAATTCCAACTATGCTTAATGATGCAAGACTTAGGACCCTGAAAGAGATTATGAGTTCCTTAAGGAAAGATACCTTGTTCTAGTCATCTTTGTTATAGCCCAGCCATGGGACCAAGCAGTGAGTCTTGTACATATTATACTATTCATTCCATAAATGTTCACTGAATAAATATCTAGAAAGAAAGGGAATCAGCAAATTTTTTTATTGTCAGGACTCTTCCTTCCATGATTACTCACCTGCTCACTTTCCAACTCTTCCCCCAATGACCTAACTTCTATCATTCATTGCCCTGTACTTTAGCTACAGTAATAACAGTTTGCTGCAGCCCAAAAGTGATGCTGTTTTATGCATTCATAACTTTACTCCTATCATTCCCCACCTTCTTCACTTAGCTAACATCTACTCATTCCTCATAATTTAGCTCAGATGTCGTGTTCTTCAAGAAGACTCCCCTGACCTCATCATCCATCCCCAGACTAAGCTAAATGCTATGATTCTGGGCTCCCATAGTACCCAATACAAACATCCAACAATGCAGTTGCCACAAAACATGGAAACTAACCACTTATATATTTGTGTCCACTCATAGAATGTAAGCTCTTTAAAGCTTCTTTCTTTATAGTCACAAATACCAGCACAGGTTCAATGAATATTTATTGAATGAATGAAAGAATGAACAAACTCATCTCATTCTTTTTTTTTGTCTTAGTTTCTCTCTAATTTACCTCTGGTCAGCTGGTCACCCATAATTTTAATTATCTTAAAAAACAAATGAACAAAACCCCCTCTTGGTCATAAAACACAAATCAAAAATTAAAAACGGCAAACACTGAGTTCTGCTTATTCATCTAGCCAAAAAGTATTCCTTCTTAATATCTTACAATTAATATTTAATAAATAATTAATATCACCACCACTTTCTCCTAATGTCCTCTAAAGCAGAATCACATTTTAATAATCACTCTTTCACAATCACACATATTACTTACTTCTATTCTTCTTTCTCCCTGAAAAGATATAAAGTAGGTCCTGCCAACTCTTTCTCTAGTAATGTCATCAGGTCTGCTCCTTTCCTTTTCTATAGCCCCTGCCTTTAATCTCTTCCAATTTAGTTTGCTCTAGTTTCACCAAAGGAATAATTTAGTATATCCAAAATTAAACTACATACAAGGAATTCCTATTTTCTACTATACAGTATTCTAATTATACAGAATCCATAATTTTTAGCCTGGCTTTTAAAGCTATGCATCCCATACTCATCTCTACCAGTATTCCCTACCTTGTTTCCTCTCAGAAAACATATTTCCTTGTGTTTCTAGGTATGCATTTCCCATTGAAGCCAAGCGAATATTCCTGCTGTATACCATAGTAAATCTTCAAATTCTTTCATTGTTACCTTTGTACATAGAGTTTTACAGCTTTCCCTATTCTCTTCATGCCTTGATTCATCTTTAAAATCCCTGTTTACATCTCTCTTCCTCTTACCAAGATTCTTTAATTACCTTCAGGTCATACTAATTGCTCCCTTAATAAACAACCCTTCACCATTTGTATTTTACCTGAACTAACAATATTTTAGACCTTACTAGTATGTTGCTCTGTAAGTGTTTGGAAAGATCTTTATGTACGTGCTTTTTTGTAAATTTATTTTATTTATTTACTTTTGGCTGCATTGGGTCTTCGTTGCTGTGCGCAGCCTTTCTCTAGTGGCGAGCAGGGGCTACTCTTCGTTGTGGTGTGCGGGCTTCTCATTGTGGTGGCTTCTCTTGTTGCAGAGCACAGGCTGTAGGCACGCAGGCTTCAGTAGTTTTGGCACACGGGCTCAGTAGTTGTGGCACATGGGCTCTAGAGCGCAGGCTCAGTAGTTGGTGCACACGGGCTTAGCTGCTTCACAGCATGTGGGATCTTCCTGGGCCAGGGTTCAAACCCGTGTCCCCTGCATTGGCAGGCAGATTCTTAAACACTGCACCACCAGGGAAGTCCCGTATGCGCTTTTTGATTGTTGAGAACAGGTGTATTGTTTTTTTCCTACAGGGCTTAATCTAGCAGCACTCTCATACAAGCTGGCTTCTTAATAGATGCTGCTAATTTTTTATCTTACATTTAAGGGAACTCAATAAATTGTCTGAATTAAATTAAATTGAACTGGCTGTTCTTCATCAATAAACTTTACAAGTGATAGTGAAATAAAGGGTAAATTTAAATTATAGTGTTTAAAATTGGTAATACTTCCTATAATCCTACCCAGCTTATAACATTTGCATGGAGCTTTTGAATATGTATTCAAATGTTACTTCTGCTTTTCAGTCCCATCCCTGTCTCCATTCCCCTTACCACCAAATGTCCATGTGAAGAAAACCTGAAGCAAACTGAAAGGCATACTAGAGAATATCACTTTTCACATAAGTCCCACTGCTCATATTTATTTACATATCTGGTATGAAGCCACCATATCAATATTCTTCCCATTGAGAGCTTTATTTATGGTCTCCCTATGTCAAAGGATAATTAATACTTTAGACAATTTCTATCACAGAGCTTAACAAATTTACTTTACCTACACAATTGCAACAAGAAACAATAAAAGAAAATGTCACAGTGTTTCTGCCCATTCCATATTGTCACGAGGCTAATAAAAATTCACTTTTGTGGCAATACTGTATAAGAAATAAAGGACGTAAAATGCGATTTTGAATAAACATTTGTATCTATTACATTCATTTTGTATTATTTCTTTTAAAGAACTAAAACCATCAAAAACCTGTTAAGATATTTAGTTAATGGATAAAGCAAACTTTATGTTTTAAACAATAACTTACAGGATCAGCAGGTCCACAGAATTCTCGAAATGTCACTGTAGGATTAGTCTGTTGAATCTCCATTGCTACACAAGGGCCAGAATACATTTCTGTCACCATTTCCTATAATATGTAATATAAAATAATATTAACAAGTAGAATTTAATAATCTTTTACTCCTCCTCTTTTAATTGTACCACTATTCTACTGAACTCAAAATGTTAGAGTTATGTTTGACATCTTCTCTACCTGTACCCTCTATGCCAAGCAGTTCCCACATTTTGTCCATTTTTCCTGCAAAAATGTATTTTAGATATGTCCCCTTTTCTCCATTCCTACCACTACCACTTTTAGTTTAATGCTTTACCACTTGACATGTTCACTGTCTGAAATTAGCTTCTAGTACATCTTCCTTTTAAAAGGCTCTCTCCCCTTGAACACAGTACTGTCAAACGAACACTTCTAAAGATATAAATTCCAAAGTGTTTACCACAAAGAAACTTATAAAAATCATAATGAGTTCCAGCAATAAGGAAAAACAGGCACCAGATTTATTCTCTCACATTAAACACGTAGAAACTAAAAAAATACATATATAAAACAACAGTTTTCAGACACTGGATGACAAACAGCACAGTACTATGATCCCCTAGAGGAGGAAAACAAAAGCTATATAACAGCCCCATCTTACTGCCTGAAGGCTTCCAGACAGTGGGATAGGTAGAGCAAACACAAAAGGGCCCAACAGTCTCACTGAGTAGAAGAGACAAAGACTGGAGTTTAGGACGACCAACGAGGCTAGAATTTGCAGGACAGAATACTACAGGAGGTGGGAGAGCTACAGGAGAGTAAGGTACAGGGATTTGCAGAGAAGTTCACTTGAGCCTTTGACTAAGAGTCTGTGTATGTATAAAGCATACTACCCAAGGCTGAAAAAAGAACTACCAGAAAGCAGAAAATGAAACAATTCACAAAGATAGCACAAGGCTGAGAAGAGTTTGTGCTTCTACCAGCCAGAGTAGAAAGCCCTCATATGATACACAGGGCATCAGGTAGACTCCTCAGAATGGTACTGCATCATAGTAATTGGCCTAAACTTGCTTTAGATATGGAATGCTCTATACCTCTCCTATAAAAGCTTAAAAGCAAGTCTCAGAAGGGTCCAACTGATCCCAAGTAACTTGACTGAGTGCCAGTACAAAGTCAAACATTCTTCAAAGGAATACAAAAATACCATGTAACACTGTAAGTTTCACAACCTCAGCATATAGTAAAAACTACCAGGCATGCAAAGAAGTAGGAAAATATGAACCATCACCAGAAGGAAATAAATAGACCCAGCAATGACAGAAATGATGGATGTAATTACAGAAGAATTTTAAAACAGTCACTATAAATAGGTTCTATATGCTCAAAATATAGAAGGAAACGTGGACATAATGCACAGAAAACAGGAGATATTAAAAAGATCCCAATAGAACTTCTAGAGATGAAAATTACATCTGAACTTAAAAATACACTTTATGGGATAAACAGGAAAAGATTTTGTGGAATATCAATGAATTTGAAGGCATGCAATAGAAACTATTAAAAAGCAAGCATGGAGAAAAAGAGAAATAAAGAAAAATTTAAAAACTAAAAAAAAAAGACTTGTGGGACAATGACAAGCTGTGTAATTGGAGCCCCAAAAGAAGAAAGGGTGATGAACAGAAATATATTTCAAGAATTAATTGCTAAAAAGAGTTCAAATTTGATGAAACCCACAAACTCACATATCCAACAAAATCAAAGGAGAATAAATGGAAAGAAAAATAAAGTAGGGCACATCATAATCAAATTGGCTATAAAACAACAACAACAACAAACAAAACAACCCAGTGATAAACAGTAAAAACAAAAACAAAAACCTTAGAAACATCCAAAAAAAGAAACATAACAGTAGAACAAAGATAAGGATAAAAACAAAAACAACAACCTATCTAGAATTCTACACCCGGTTGAGAAAACATTTGGAAAATATTTTCCAAAATGAATGAAAAATAAAGACTTTTTCAGAGTATAGGTCTTTAACCTCCTTGGTTAAGTTTATTCCTAGGTATTTTATTCTTTTTGATGCAACTTTATTTTTTTATTTTTTATTATTTTTTTTTATGTTGGGGGTAGGAGTTTATTAATTAATTTATTTATTTTTGCTGTGTTGGGTCTTCGTTTCTGTGCAAGGGCTTTCTCTAGTTGTGGCAAGTGGGGGCCACTCTTCATCACGGTGCGCGGGCCTCTCACTATCATGGCCTCTCTTTTTGCAGAGCACAGGCTCCAGACACGCAGGCTCAGTAGTTGTGGCTCACGGGCCTAGTTGCCCCGCGGCATGTGGTCCTCCCAGACCAGGGCTCGAACCCGTGTCCCCTGCATTAGCAGGCAGATTCTCAACCACTGCGCCACCAGGGAAGCCAATTTGATGCAACTTTAAATGATGATTGTTTTCTTGCTTTCTCTTTCTGATAGTTCATTATTAGTGTATAGAAAAGCAACACATTTCTATATATTAACCTTATATCCTGCAACTTTACTGAATTCACTTATTAATTCTAATAGTTTTTTTTCGTGGAGACTTTAGAATTTTCTCTATATAGTACCATATCATCTGCAAATCATGACAGTTTTATTTCTTCCCTTCCAATCTGGATGCCTTGTATTTCCTTTTCTTGTCTGATTACTGTGACTAGGACTTCTAATACTATGTTAAATAAAAGTTGGGAGAGTGGGCATCCTTGTCTTGGAAGTGAAAGACCTATACTATGAAAACCATAAAACACCGATGAAGGAAATTAAAGACAATACAAAGAAATGGAAAGACTGCAGAAATTAATATTATTAAAATGGCTATATTACCCAAAGCAATCTATAGATTTAATGCAATCCCTTTCAAAATAGCCATAAAATTTTGCACAGAATTCAAACAAATAATCCTAAAATTTATATGGAACCACAAAGGACCCTGAATTGCCAAAGCAATCTTCAGGAAAAAAAGAACAAAGCTGGAGGTATCATGCTCCCTAACTTCAGACTATACAACAAAGCTACGGTAGTCAAAATAACATGGTACTGACACAAAAACAGACACATAGATCAAGGGAACAGAATAGAAAGCCCAGAATAAACCCACACACTTATGGTCACTCCACAACAAAGGAGGCAAGAATATACAATGGAGAAAAGACAGTCCCTTCAACAAGTGGTGCTGGGAAAACTGTATAGCCACATGTAAAAGAGTGAAATCAGAACATTTCCTCATACCATATACAAAAATATACTCAAAATGGATTAAAGGCCTAAATGTAAGACCTGAAACCAAAAATTTCTAGAAGAAAACATAGGCAGAACACTTTAACATAAATCGTAGCAATAATTTTTTTGGATCTGTCTCCTATGGCGAAAGAAATAAAAGCAAAAATAAATATATTGGACCTATTAAACTTAAAAGTTTTTATACAGCAAAGGAAACCGTTGACAAAATGAAAAGACAACCTACTGAATGGGAGAAAATATTTGCAAATGCTATGACTGATAAGGGGTTAATATCAAAACAATTTAAAAGCTCATACAATTCAATATCAAAAAAACAAACAACTCAATTAAAGAACTGAATAGACATTTTTCCAAAGAAGACCTACAGATGGCCAACAGGCACATGAAAAGATGCTCAACACTGCTAATCATCAGAGAAATGCAAATCAAAACCACAATGAGATATCACCTCACACCTGCTAAAATAGCTATTATCAAAAAGTCTACAAACAACAAACACTGGTGAGGATGTGGAGAAAAGGGAACCCAAGTACACTCTCAGTGGGAATGTAAATTAGTGCAGCCACTATGGAAAACAGTATGGAAGTTCCTCAAAAAACTAAGAATAGAACTACCATATGATCCAGCAATTCCACTGCTGGGTATACATCTGAAGAAAAACACTAATTCAAAAAGATACATGCATTCCAATAGCAGCATTATTTACAACAGCCAAGATATGGAAGCAATCTAAGTATCCCACAACAGATGAATGGATAAGATGTGGTATATATACATACAATGGAATACTACCCAGTCATAAAAAAGAATGAAATTCTGCCATTGGCAACAATGTGTATGGACCTAGAGGCTTAGTGAAGTAAGTCACAGAAAGACAAATACTCTATATGTTATCATTTATATGCAGAATCTTAAAAATAAAACAAACACATGTATATAACAAAAGAGAAACAGACTCACAGATGTAGAGAACAAACTAATGGTTACCAGTAGGGAGAGGGAAAGGAGTAGGGGCAAGATAGGGTTATGGGATTAAGAGATACAAACTGGCATGCATAAAATAAGCAACAAGGATATATTGTCAGGGAAATATAGCCATTATTTTTAATAACTTTAAATGGAATATAATCTATAAAAATATTGAATCACTGTGTTGTACACCTGAAACTAATATAATATTGTAAATCATTGATCTTTCAATTAAAAGAAGACTTTTTCAGACAAACAAAATCTGAGAGAATTCACCACCACCAGCCATATACCATAGAAAATGTTAAAGGAAGTACTTCAGACAGAAGAAAAATAATGCCAGACAAAAATATGGATCTATACAAAACAATGGTAAATATGTGGGTAAATATAAAACATATTTCACAGCAACTAAAAAAGAAAAAATGTAATTGATTTTTTAAAGCAAAAATATTAAAAATGTATTGCAGAGTTTATAACATACATAGATGTAAAATGTATGACAACAGCACGCAGAATAGGAGAGAAGAAATGGAAGTATACTGTTTTAGGGTTCTTAACTCTATATGTGAAGTGGTTTAATGAAAAACATGGTCAAAGAAAAGTGCCCCTCACAGTGTCTGAAACATTCAATGAATGAAACACTTCAGGCAGAAGTGAAAATACATATAAAGCCTGGAGGAAAAAGTACAGTTGGGGTATATGAAGATCAGTAAAGGAGCCATGATATCAGGATCTGAGTGAGACCACAGGAAAGCAGTTAAGAGATGAGGCCAGATCATGGAGGGCCATGTAAACCATTTTAATGATTTTTGAAGGTTTATGATATATAATGCCAAAGTAAAATA